CCTTCAGACTATATAATCTTATAATTCAAAAATAAGCAAAGATGTAAACAACATCTAACATGTAAACAACCTACCTGAATCCAGTTCACAAAGGAAGGTATATAATTGGCCAATAAGCACATGAAAAAGTGTCCAACAGTAGTAATCACTAGGGAAATGCAAATTAAAATCTTAATGAGAGAGCAGTAGACATTTATCAGAATAGCTCAACTTAATAATACTGAGCACACCCAATGTTTGTGAGGCTATAAAGCCACTGGACCTTTCATGCATTGCTGGTGCGAATGCAAAATAGTACAACTTTGGAAAAGACCTTGAAGGTTTCTCATAAAACTCAACATATGCTCACCATACAACCCAGCAACCACTCTAGGCATTTTAATCAAGAGAAATTAAAATATATGCCATATAAAGACTTGCACATTTCAGTTTTATTCATAACACCCCAAAACTGGAAGTGACCCAAATGTTCATCAATAGGTGCACAGATAAATGAATTGTGGTGTATCCTATACAGAATACTACACAGCAGTGAAAAAGGAATACCTATAGTCATGCCTCACTTAATAATAGGAATACATCTGAAAAATGTACCAATGGGTGATTTTATCATTATGCAAATGCCTTAGAGAATAATTACACAAACCCAGATGCTGTAGCCCATTACACACCCTAGTATACGAGGTTATATGCATATATAGGGACGATGATCATATAGTCAGTCTGGCATCGACCAAAATGTCACTGTTCAGTGCTCCTCTGTTATGATGCATCCAACAACATGGCTGAATATCAAAAATTTTATGCTGAGCAAAAGCAGGCAGTCAGAAGATACTGTGTATTGTATGACTCCGTTAACATGGAATTCTAGGGCTCTGTAGTGGTAGAGAGCAGGTCAGTGGTTGTCTGGGACTGAAGGGGTAGTGATTAATGGTAAAGGGATATGAGAAAAGTTTCTAGCGTGATAGAAATGTCCTATATCTTCACTGGAGTGGTGGTGACAGGTGTATACATCTGTCAAGCTCATCCCGGTACGTTGTTCCACATCAGTCACACCTCCATCAAGGTGATGTTGTTAGTCTTATTGCACTCAAAGGACACTCAGGCAAGAGTGACTATTTTTAATTGCCCATCCTACCCTGCTGTGCTGGGAGGAAATGGCTAACACCAAAAGGGACAGAGGCCTCTCTGGACATCCGTCTACTTAGCACTGAGTCTGTTATCTCTGTGTTCTCACTGCAGCTTGGAGGCGGCTCAGCAGTGCAGAGGATTTTCCCACATCAAATGATTTCAAACACACAGTAATTGGGAAGCAAGCCTTCCCAGCTCAATGCAATTACCAAGCACTCCTCACTCGGTGCCTGAACCTGCCAGATGAACCCTGGGATGGAGCTTGCGTAAGGAGTAGGAGCCAGCCTCGGGGCTGCCTGGGAACCCTTACCATCCAGCCTCTAACCTGCAGGCTGCTGGGCTCCAGACTCCTAATTGGAGTTGGGCTCATCAGGGTCACATTCTGTGGCTCCTGCGCCTTTTGGAAAGGGGAAGAAAGCACAGTCGAGAGGACGCGCTTGTATTTCCCGCAAGTCAGATGAGATGCTGATCTTGAAAGCAGAGTTGCTGCACCCCGTAACGCTACTGGTGTAGACTACTATATGAATGGTGCCTCCCCTCGTACCCCAGGCCGACAAGGCAGGTGGGGAACTGAGCACCCACTGCAAGAGTCTCTGTCATTAACTAGAATCAGCCCCATGCAGAGTCATTTTTCCATTTATAGGCACTTTTTTTATTGAGGTAAAAGTCACATAGCATAAAATTACCCATATAAAGCATTCGAGTCAGTGATATTTATCACTATATTGCCCGACCATCACCGTTATCTAGTTCTAAACACTCACCAACTCAAAAGGAAACCTGTACCCATAAGCAGTGAGTCTCCATTCCCCTCTTCTCCTCGCCCCTGGCCATCGCTGATCTACTTTCTGTCTCTACGAATTTGCCTGTTCTAGGCATTTCATACTAGTGGAATTTCCTGGGTGGTCCCCAGGAAAGGGGGAGATTCCAGGTTTCCTGCCCCACCAAAAGGAGGATGGAGCTAAGCAGGGAGAGAAGAAGCTGCAGAGGAGACTGAGAAGGAAGGAAGCAAAATGGAGAGCCAGAAGGAGCCCTGGTCCCCAAGAAAGGGGGAGGTTCCAGGTTTCCTGGGGACCACCCTGTTACAGAATCATATAATGTATGGGCTTCTTTTACGTAGTATCATGTTTTCAAGTTTCGTTCTTTTTTATGGCTGAATAATATTCCACCATATGAGTGTGTATGCTTTTTTCTTGATCCATTCATAAGTGAATGGACACTTGATGTGTACAGGTCCTTTATCCCAATCCTAGAAGGCCTTCTGGATCCTTCAAACTTCCCTGATGTCTTAGTTTAGTTGCTCCAAAGAATATCATAGACTAACCTATTTAAGCAACCTTTAACTCTCACAGTCAGAAGTCTGAGATCAGGGTGCCAGATCAGTCAAGTTCCAGGTGAGGGCCTTCTTCCAGGCTATGTCCTCACATGATCTCCCCTGCTGCTTGTACACGCGCACACAGGTATCTCACATCTCTTCCTTATTTTTAATAAGGACATTAAGGCCAGCATGAGGGTCCCTTGTGGAAGATCCACTCCCTTCCCAAAGGCCCCACCTCCAAATACCATCACTCTGGGGTCTAGGGTTTCAGCACATGAATGGTGGCGCACAAATATGCAGTCCAGAGCCCCTGCCTCCAGCCAACTCCATGGCTTGAGGGCTATTCTGCTCCATATTGAAGGAAAGAAAGGAGGAGAAAAGAACAGGAGGGCTGTCACCAGACGGATAATAAAAGCACATAAGGTTACTATTATCCAGTGAACATATGCTCAATGGTACCTACGATGTGACAGGCCAGGCCAAGCCTGGGCATACAGCAGCTGTCAGATCTTCCTGCTATATATCCCTCACTTTCTCTCTCCTTCAACTTTTAATTTTTTAATTCCACAACTCCTCTCTCTCCCTTCCACCCACCCCAAGTTCACCTGGTTTCTTCTCTCCCATCTCACCCTTTGCTTCCATCCTATTGCATGATGGAGTCATTTGTCTTCCCAGCCAATAAGTTTTTTTTAAGACACTTCACAAAAGATGATACATAAATGGTCAACAAACCCACGAAAAGATGTTCACCATCATCAATTAGGGAAATGCAAATCACCACCTCAAGAGCACCCCCACTAGAAGGACTAAGTGAATAATAATGCTGACAACATGTCTTTGGGACAGGACCTGGCACTTTGCCCTGTGGCGGGTGGGAACACAAATGGTATAATACCTGGGAACCAGTTCGCAGTCCCTCGGAAGTTAGAGACACTTACCCATCAGCAATTCCCCTCCTAGACATTCCCCCAAGGAGGTGCTGGGTGTGACTGGAGACCCTCTGGCTTTCCAAATGTGTGGCCTTCAGCAAAAGATGAGCCACTTGGACCTCAGCTCACTCACCTGTGAAGCAGAGAGGACACTTAACAGTCAATTCATTCATTCAGTAGAAATTTCTGGGCCCCCTCCATGAACCAGGCTCTGGGCTTCCCAGGTGAATGGGATGAACGTGGTTATCCTCTGAGACACCGGGCGGAAACTAAGCATTGAACAGATTAGCGAGTAAACCACAATGGGGCACGAATGGTGACACAGAAGGGGAAGACCAGGGAGCCCGCATGGAGATGAAATGAGTGCTGAATTTGGGTTGAGGGGGAGAGGAGAGGGCCCCGCCAATGAGACGGTTAGTGAGAAGCAAGGAGAGACTTCCAGAAAGACAGCAGAGCCCACCGAGAGAACAGACACCTCAGGGTGGCTCTGGAGCTCTGGACGCAGCCGCCACCGGGTTGGGGGTACCCCCTCAGGGCACCCCAGCGAGGAGGCTGGACATCTGGCTTCCCAGCCTGCTCCCCCCAGACCTTAGAGAACTGCCCAACACCGAGGACCAGGAGGGCGCTGCAGACGGGGGTGGCCGCTTTACTGCGTGAGTCACTGACTTACCAGCCCTGTCGGGGGCCTGGGAAGAGACCCACGCCCGCCCCCCAAGCTCAAGCGCACGTTGCAGCCTTCCCAAG